CGAACGGGACTGTATCAAATTAAAAAGCTTCTGCACAGCTAAAGAAAACATCAACAAAATGAAAAGGGAACTAACTGTATTGGAAAATATATTTGCCAATGATACCGTGGCCAAGAGTTTGATCTCCAAAATATATAAAAGACTCACATGACTCAATACCAGGAAGGCAAACAATCCAATTAAAAAATGAGCAAAGGACCTGAACAGACACTTTTCCAAGGAGGACATACACAGGGCCCGGAGACATATGAAAGGACACTCAGCAACACTAACCATCAGAGAAATACAAGTTAAGAAACCACAATGAGATACCACCTCATACCGGTCAGAATGGCCATCATAAGCAAATCAACAAACCACAAGTGCCGGCGAGGCTGTGGAGAGAAGGGAACCCTAGTGCACTGTTGGTGGGAATGCAGACTGGTGCAGCCACTGTGGAAAACTGTATGGAATTTCCTCAAAAAATTAAAGATGGAACTGCCTTTCGGTCCAGCAATCCCACTGCTGGGACTATACCCTAAGAATCCTGAATCACCAATTCCAAAGAACCTATGCACCCCAATGTTCATAGTGGTGTTACTTACAGTAACCAAGTGCTGGAAATGGCCCCAGTGCCCATCAGTAAGTGAGTGGATCAAAAAACTGTTGTACATTTACACAGTGGAACACGACATGGCAGAAAGAAAGAAGCAACATCTACGTTTTACGGCAGCATGGGTGGCCCTAGAGAGCGTTATGCTAAATGAAATAAACCAGGCGGTGAAATTCAAACACCATATGACCTCACCTATAAGTGGAATCTAATCAACAAAATAAACAAGTGAGCAAAATAGAACCAGAGACGGGAAATAAGGAACAAACCGACAGCAACCAGGGGGGAGGACGGCGGGCGACAATGGGGAAAGAGGGGGAAGGGCCAAGTCAAGGGATATGCACGAAGGACCGAGGGATAAAGACGAGGCGGGGATTGAATGCGGGGGGTGGGGCATAGGTAGGGCAGGGGGCGAGTAATGGCGGAAAAATGGGGACAACTGTAATTGAACAATTAAGAAAAGATAGGGATTTAAACCAAGAGTTTATTTCAAAGCTTCTTATGTAACGACTTATTTAAAAAACTTTTAAAAAAATTCTCACCCGAGGATATGTTTTCTGATTTTAGAAAAAGAGGAAGGGGGTTGGGAAAGATGTGAGAAACATTGATTGGTTGTCTCCCACACAGGCCCCTACTGGGGATCGAACCCACAATCTAGTTGTGTGTCCTGACCAGGAATTGAACCCACAACCTTTTGGTGTATGGGACGATGCTCCAACCCACTGAGCCGCCCAGCCAGGGTCATACGGACTTGTTGAAAAGGAGGAGCAGCACTTCATTCCACGGTTCCGGGAGTGTGAGTTACAAGCCTCCTCGCACACCATGCCCCACGAGGAAGGGATGACGGAAACGGCGCATCTCATGACAGCTGAGCCCTTATGTTCTCTTTCTGGCACCTGAGGACGCGGCCAGTGCTGGGGCTCGGGGCGGGGGCGCCCCGGCCGCATCCAGGACTTGCGTGCATGCCGGAGCCCTTCTGCAGGCCCTGCTCCCGCCCGGGGCGAGGCTCTCAGGCTGCCGCTTCTGGGAAGGGGCTCCTACCAGGCACCCCCAGGCGCCAGGACTCATCTGAAAATTTGCCAACATTCTGTGCTTGTGGCCCTTATCTAGGGAGAGGCTCAGAGTTTTCCCCGGTGTCTCTGAGGTGTTTATGACTAAAATTAGAGCAAGCTGGACACTCAGGCAAACCTGTGGCTCCCTCCGGGGGCTGCAGCCTCCTCGCTGTGTGGATGGAGAACTGGTTCAGAATTTCCCCCCTCAAAGGCAGTAAGGCAGCAAGGCAGAGAGCAGGGTGGCAAACACCGCGCTCACAAGGACCCTGGGCCCCGGGGCCGTGACCTTTCAGGCTACGAAGGGGTGCGTGGCCCTGGGCCTTGAGGGCAGAGCGAATGACTGGTTCCCAATGGCTTAGCAGGCCTGTCCCTCTCAACCCTGGTTGCGTGAAGCCTCAAGCAGACGTGAGTCGCCACTCTGTCCCTGTTATGACTCATTTACCAATTTTCTCGATCAAAACCAAACAATATCAAAGAACTGCCTTAGAGTCAAAGGCCGCCTTATGTCCAATTCACACAAGCAGGTGCCAAGTGAACCTGCAGGGCAGCATCCAATCATTTTCAAATACTGCCCCTTCCCTATCACCCCTGCCCTCCCCGCCGCCTACGGATACATAGCATTTCAGTCGATTACAAAAGTGTTTCGGTCACGTCTACACTGCAAATGGGAAAGGGGTACGACAGAGAACTAGAACCAAGACCAGTATCAAGCTTTCCTTCTCCAAGAGCCTCTAAAGGTAAGACTGGTGCCCACCTGCCTGGAAGGACTCTAGCCTTTTTAAGCAGAGACAGTGCGCCGTGGAGAGCTCTTCTGCTCCTGTTGTTCTAAGCAGTGGACGTCCTGAAGTGCCTTCGAACCCAGGGTGGAAGCTGAGTGCTCACCTGCTGCACGACCCCCGGCACACGGCGCTGTGGCGGCCCGCGGGGTCTCCTGGCCACACTGCGTGAGCAGACAAGCACATCATGGCGCAGGATATTTGATTCTGTGCTGCATAATTTTGAAAACTTACATCCAGGAACCTGAGGGGATTTTCAGTAAGAGATCTAACAGAAATGTTTCATCTTTCAGTTTGGAAACATTCGCTAGTATTGACTGAAAGGATGACATGTCAACATCCACCTGTGTTAATGTTAAATGTGTGGGCAGAGATGGGGATGTAGAAATAGTCAATTGTCATTTAAAAACACACACACACATTAGGCATGCTATACGCGTCTCTTTTAAAATGTGTCTGTATTATTTTCACCAATCAAAACACACATAACACATTTCATTATAAAGCATTAGGCAATGTTACTTTTGAGGTACGTGATCTGCAAGATCACCCGTGTATTTCCTGCCAGCACGAAGCATCGAAGGCACTGCATGGGCAGTGAGGACCACCCCCAAGCCTCACTGCCTGACAGCCTGCTCGCTGGGGGCTCTGGCTGTGGGCAAGGGCCCTGCTGAGGGTGTCTCCTTCAGCGCTGGGGCTCTCAGTTTGCATCCCCAAAAGGAGGAGGAGCCAGCTCGTCTCTCCAGACCACAGCGCTTGAGCAGCATGTGCTTCGAGGGTGCTCTCCTGCCTGGCGGGCTCCGCTCTCTGGAGCCTGCACTGGAAATCAAGACCCAGCAAAGTCGAGGCAGGCATTTCCGTCCTGATTGAAAACAAAACAAAACCTAGTCCAAATTCCAGGCTAATAACAAATTACCTGGTTTATAAAAATATGGGTCCAAAATAGTTACTTCCAGAGTTGTGTACAGTATAAATTATAAAAATAAAAGAGAAGATGAAAAAGTGAGCCCATTTTCAGCCCTCACCCACACCAGCACTCACCCGCGCACTTCCCCCGGCCCCGGCCGCTCTCCACTCTCCGGGAGCAAGGGCCCTGCGGTCAGCCGGGAGGCGCTCCTGCCGGCCTCTGCTGCCCGCAGCCTGTGGGCTGCCCTCGGGGTGTGGCCGGGGAAGGTGGCCTCGGCAGGGAACGGTCCGCACAACGCAGGCTCCATCGGGAGCACGCGGAGGAAGGACGGCGTGAGCGGACGCCCGTCTGTGGGGCGCCTGGTGAGCGGGGCCTCCCGGCGCCCTCGGCCCAGGGCGCTGCGCTTACTTCAGCCTCGAGCACAGAGCACACTTTAACACCTCTCCCCTTTCATTGTTTTTCTTCTTAAAGATAGATTTACTTTTGGAAAGAACGTAGGCTACAGAGGACTTTTTAAGATGCTTTTATATGTAATCATTTTCTTCCCTACACCATCAGGCCTCCAGAAACAAAGTAATCCCAAGTCCCATACAAGGTATTTCTGCCTCAGTCCAAGTTACTATTTCCATCTTGTACTTGAATGTGTCTAAATCTCACAATATAAAACTACCATGTCAATATTAAGTTTGCTCATCAAAGGTTTCACTTTCCAGTGATGCCAACCAATAAGTACAACTGGTGCAGAGAGAATCATATATTTCAGATAATATTTATAATAAACTTTCTTATCAAAGTCTCTCCTCATAACAATCCTATAGAATGTTGACATAACAGCTTCCAAAATAATTGAACACAAGATACGAATCTGAAACAGAATAAACTCAAGGGAAGAGCACCATGCGCACAGGTAGCCAAATGTGACCAAGGCAGTTCCATTTCTTCAGTGACACCTGGATCCTCAGGATCTCAGGGAACTGTGAGTAATTTCCACATGCAAAGTCCAAAAGTAGCCACTTCAGGTGAGCATCTTGAGTCAGGGAATATTTAACAGTTGGTCACTACCCTTTTGGGCATCTCCCCGGCAGCCCTCTGAAGAGTTTTCCCAGAACACACAGGATCTCTGGGGACAGGCGCCGCCAGCCCCCGAGTGCAAAGCCACCGGCAGGCGTCGCTTCCGCCCAGCTCCTCGACAGCCCCTGACGACGCTGTGGGCTCCGCAGGCCGTGCGGGGGAAAGCGGCCGTGACTTCCCGCACACCTTGTGTAATGGCGTCAGCAGGGCCTGTGGCGCTGCGGGCACAGCGGGCACAGCGGGCACTCGGAGGTGCCTGGGGTTGCCTTTGGGGACCATTTTGTGAAATTCCACTCTGAGGCAGGTAATGGGTCCACAGAGCTACCTGCCCTCACACTTCTGAAGTGGTGGCTAACAAGATGGTGAATTTCTAGGTAGCAGTTTAAATTAAAGGTAAGTCCAGAAGACTAAGAGAAAAAGAGCTAGGGTAACATTTTAAAGGTATATGTTGTCTTACGCAGCACAAAACAAAACTTGAAGTTGTATCACGCAGGAAGGCCGAATGCGCAACCGTCGCAGACTACGACGGCTTTGGGAGAACACGGTGTGCAGGGTAAGTGTCGCAGTTTCAGCAGAGAATTCTCAGCCCCAAACATGATACATTTTTTAAAAGTTCTATTTTTTATTTATTAAATAGATTTAATTATATTCCTTCTGAAATACAAAAGATAGAATAAATCATACCATAAAAGAAGGTGAGATACAATAATATGGTGGTGGCCAATTAATACACATAATCTATTTTTTTCTGGACAGAGAGCAAAGTACTCGAGAGTATTAAGAGATAATTCTAGAAGCAGCACTACCTGGGAGACTACTGGGCATTTAAATACTGATTTCCAAAGTGACAGATGGCAAGTTGGAGCAAGCATTTGTGGTCACATGCACGTAAGTCCCAACAGTTACTGAGGGTGAGAAACTGTCACGACTATTACAACTTAAAAAAAATTCATCCTTTCTAGTTGCTCACCTGAAATGACCTTGAACAAAATCTCTTCAGACATACCCTGCTTCACTTTATAACCTAGGCAGGCGATGCTGTTAGGACTGAGCAGGGCAGGGCGCCGTGTTTCCTACATGCAGAACACGGACTTTTTCTATTTGGTTCCATCAACTCCCAGGCACCTCAGGCCCGTGGAGGCGAGAGTTCCTCACTGACGACAAGCCTGCCATTTCTAACTCATCACCGACAACCCTCAAGGGGTCCCGTGGAGGCATCGAGGCTGCTGTCTGTGTCCGAGGCCAGCGTCTGCTCGGTGGACATGGATGAAATGTCGTTGATAGAGGACGACTGAGAAGGCGTGGCGGTGCTGCTTACGGCTGCATCTGTGCTAAGAAAAGCAAACGTAATGAAACCTGAGGCGTGACCCCGCGGCAGAGCTAGGCAGCGTGGCCTTGGCGTGCCCCGTGTGGTCCCAGCAGTTAGCGTAAACGGGTCGGCGGACTGCGCATTTTGAGCTTTTCCTGGAATCTGTCTTCAGGCCTAGAACCCCACATATCCCTGTCTTTCCCTGCAACGTTCTCCTTTTCTTCCCAGTGGCTAAGCATCACATACGTAATTCATGTATAATCATGTTAACTACTTAAAAATACCTGCTGGTTTAAAAAGGATATTAAAGAAAATTGCTGAATTTATCCTAAAATTATCAATATCTCAAAAGGCTTAAGCCCAAATAGGATTCAAATGTCATCAGACATTTCGATTATAATTTCAAATACTTAATCCAAGGAAAACAGCATCAACTTTTGAAGAATTCTTCCGCAATAACACCACCTAAGAGAAGGGCTGCACACAAACAAAAAAGGAAAATGTGTGGCCGCTTGTTCATTTTTGTTTGAGAAATCTCCAAAACCAACATTTCAAGGCAAATGAAATCACCGTTTCCTATTCTCCACACTGGTCTGGTCTGGGCACAAGGAAAACACCCGGGCTGCCAGATGTCCGAGTCTACAGTCGGCAACGGGGGCTCAGTTTGCAGGGCTGCCGGGCCGGGCCCCCTCGGGCTGAACCGGTAACGCGCCAGGGTGAGGAGCACGCAGCGCATGCGTCCCGGGCGGAGCTGGGGGCGGTGAGGGAGCAGCTCTGTCCGAGGAGCCCCAGTTACCAAGCAGATAGCACCCTGCACAGGCGTGAGCACCGCACGCTGACCCCAGGTCCCTGGGGTTGCACAGTCACCTCACTGCCAGTCAGCTGCTCGCACTAGGAAGGTCAAGGACAAGTGGGATGATGGTATGAACCATTTTCTCAAAAGAAAAACAATCCCATTGTACCGAAGTTCGCATTAGTTTTCTAGTTTAACTGGGTGGGGCCAGTACAAAGTGGGTCATGCCCATTGAAAAGGCTTTAAATTCAGTTTCCTCATCTATAAATGGGGCAGACAGTAGCTGCTGCAAGGACGAACAAGACTGTTTGTAACGAGGTTCGTCCACTGCCTGGCAGCTCAGAAGAATGTCAGCCACCACCCCCAGGACAAACCCAAAGTGGGGAGACTAAGTCGCAGAAGGAATTCTCAATCCCAGGGCCCCTCAAGCTGCCTTCACACACCGCCGCCCTCGGCAGGCGCTGACAGGCCGGAAAACGCGCTGGCGCTCGGAAAGCACAGACTAACCTGAAGGCTGGTCTTTGACAACACCGTTCTTGCTTCTTTCTTCCCAGTCCATCACTTCCTTGTAAATCAGCTCTGCAAACACAAGTGCAAGTGAAAGGCTGCGTGGGCCTGCGGGAGCCGCGGAGCCCGCCTCCAGGCCCACGGGGCGCTCCCGGGCCTGTGCCGCGCCACTTGGCACCGGGATGCACAGGCTGTCCATGCAGGTGGGCTGCCTGGACCAAACTGCATGTTTCAATCGATTACATCTTTTCAACCCAACGATATTAAGGCTGCCAAAAATCTAGGTGGTTCTAATCCACGCAGGGATCTTACATGGCGGGGGTGGGGGGGGCGCGGGCGCAGGGGGAGACAGGGGGAGAGAGAGAACTAGCAAAGTGACTCTCACAGGACACCTCAGAGTGCTGGACATTGTCACCCCCACTTGCACGTTTCTCTCTGCTGTTCCTGTGGGTTGTTCTCCAAACGTGACCAGCATCCACAAGGGCTAGAAGCCCCTTCAGACTGACCAGAAGTTAATCCAAATACCTAACTAAATTTTTTCTTGGTTTCAACCTCTGTTTTCCTCAGTTTTCACTTATAAAAAAAACAGCTACCTGTTGAGTAAGCTATTAGGGGTCCTTGAAAGTTCCGTATTCATGAACTGAAAGGCGCCAGGCTCTGCATGCAGCGCGGCCGTGCGGGCCCTGCCGAGAGGGGGCCGGGTCGAGAGGGGGCCGCGGGTCACGGGCCCTCTGGCCCCAGGCTGGGCTACCACCGCTTTTGACTGTAATCACGGCGCTCAGTCACCGCTCACTCTCATCTTCAATGAAGAATCGTTCATTCACTCTCTTTATTGCTGGTTTAGTTTGCTGTGGGTTGCTTGGTTAATCTTATACTGGTAATAAAAACTATTTGCATATCTGTGATCCACAGTTTTGCTGAAATTCTATTTTAAAACACACATCCAACTCCATGACTTACACATGCAGAGCTCGCCTGGCCCCAGCAAAGGCCACCCCTGCCTGCGCTGGGCCGTGCGAACTTGGGTTATTCCGCATTTTGCAGCATGTTGTCAAGGTAGGTGTGAAATCACTACCGAGTTTGGTTTACAAACCAGGATTTGATCATGTAAAGTCACGGGGAAAAGCCCGTATTTTTCTCTTTTGAAGTCAATAATAAACAGTTCCTCTTTAATTCTGTTACGTTCAAGCTCTGGTTCTCTCAGGAAGCGGGAAGACTGAGGATGAAGGCCTGAAAAGCGAAAAGCTGCCCCTTCATGGGACTTCAGGAAATGTCCTAAGTAAGGATCGAAATAACCTCGCCCTTACCTTTCCACTCTTCAATTGCATGCTCTCTTTCTTCCAATTGGGCATCGTAAATTTGAGGTGGTGGCTAAAAATTAAATTACAAGTAAAGTCATCAGTTCACATAATAATGAGGCATGAAGAAAAGGCAGGATCTCTTGGAGGCCTTCGCATATATTTCTAATATGGATGGATTGTATTTTGCTGTGTATAATGAGCATTATTTTGCCCAAATTTTTGAGGGAGAAACAAGGATGCACACTATACATGGGTAGTACTAATTCCATGTATAATGTGAATTACACATGGGAATTACTGTATTTTGCTGTGTATAATGCATAGTCACATTTTTGGCCCAAGCTTTTGGGAAAAAAAATCTTTTGTCTTAATTTTTTAATTCAATTTTTTATTTATTTATATTTAGAAGCAAAACTGATGCTCATATTTCAGGATATTATTCTGCATATGGATATCGTTATTGCTTTCTTGAGTTACACTTTGAACACATAAGCATAAATAAAAGAATTAAAAACACATATATGTGGAATTAGCACTACCCATGTATAATGCTTATCCTTATTTTTCCTCTCACAAATTTGGGCAAAGAAGTGTGCATTATACACAGCAAAATAGGGTAATTTCCTTCAAACATTGCTAATGAAAGATTTCTTCTTAAGTGTGATATATCACACTTAAGTTTTAGAATCAAAATACAGTATTTGGGCCACGTATAATGCACTCCTGTGTATAATGCACACTCATGTGCTTGGCCCAAACTTTCAAGAAAAAAAAATCCTTCAATTTTTTAATTCAATATTTTATTTATTTATATTTAGAAACAAAACCAATTATCGTATTCCAGGGTATTATTTTGCATATGGATATCGTTACTGCTTTCTAGTGTTACACTTTTAAGGGATAAGCATAAATAATTAAAAACATTTACATAGATGGAGAATTCGGACTACCCATGTATTATGCACATCCTTATTTTTCCCTCAAAAATGTGGGCAAAAAGTGCACATTATACACGCCAAAATATGGTAATTAAGGAAAAAATAACCAAAAAAATGGAGTTATCATGATCCTCTTTATAATCACACGACCTCGAGACACTCTAAAGAGAGCTGCCCCAGCGCTGCCATAGAAAGAGCCCTCACAGCTGCCTGCTGCAGACCCGCCTGTTCTGCTGGGGGGATGCACGGCGGGGCGCAGGCAGACGCTCGGTTCTCCCGTCAGAACGCCCAGCCCAGCACTGACTCCTCCAAGCACTGCCCCAAAACGTGCCTAAAAATCCCATGTTTCTGTATCGGATTCTTTTCATATAAAACACTGTTTAAAATGGTGATTAAATCCAGAGGCCAAGACATCCAGGTGCGTGCTACGTGACTTACTCACAGCGACAGACCGCCCACATTGGAGCGTGGCGGGGGGTGCACAGGGGCAGAGCGCAGCTGCCCCCGCAGGTGCCCCGAGAGGGACAAACACACCGGGATTTTCAGCAGGTTTCTTAGCCTGACTGAGGTCTAAACAAGACAACGTGACCAAGGCCCAGGGCCAGGCGCACACTGGAGGGCATAGGAATGGTGACGTGATAACCACGTGCCAGCCCTGCGCCCAAGCCGACGACCGTCTGCCACAGACACGGCACAGGCTCGGGCACTCCCGCTCCCGAGGCACCCTGAGCCAGGGCCCCTGCAACAAGTGTCCCAAAGGGGTTGCGGGCCCTGTCCTGTGGCCCCTTTGTGATCCTCTTAAAGACGACCCGCTGTCCTCACGTGGCCCTCCAGACTACGTCAGGCTCCCCCGCAGCTGCCCGCTTACCGCTTCTGCCTCGGCGGGGTCGTACCACACGGTGATGTACGGGTGGCGCAGGGCCTCGTCCACGGAGATCCGCTTGTCAGGGTCTATCACGAGCATTTTTGATAACAGGTCTCTGGCTTGACTTGCTAGAGGGAAAGAGTGCAAACAAATATTAGATTAGTAACTAGTGCTGTTTGTCTGAAAACTGCACAATGAAAAACTAAAGGTGACAGCACACATATAACAAAGATGTAGTAACTGATAATTTTTTGATTGGTTCAAGATCAACAGAGCGTTTTTCAAGAATAAGTGAAGCACCCCCTTTCACTAGAAACTGGGCTTTCAAATGTGGTTTCAGCTGCTGGTCATGGGCCTTTGAGAAGGGCAGGCCCCGGGCGGCACGGCCCCAGCCAGGGCGGCATTGCCACCCACTGGGGCAGGGCGCAGAGGCGAGCCCTCTGCTCTGGTGCGGAATAGACCTTACAAGCCACTCGATAGCCTCACGCTCACACAGAACAGAACACTTCACAGATGCCTCTGCTCTGCCTAACTGTACACCATGTTGTCAACATTCACTTAAAAAAAAAAAATCTAGAGATTAGTTCAATAATTACAAAAACACAGTAAGTTCAATAACTTAAATACAAGCCTCACCTAGGTTATGGCAATTAAATCTGACGTGTACAGGCAAAGGAGAGATGGATCTTTTCTCATTGAGGGGCAATTAACCTTGATGTGGAGAGAAACCTATTCTCCCTTAAGGCACATTCTGGTGATGGACACAGGAGAAATGGCGAAGGAGCTTTTGTATTGGAACTACTATTGCACTGTTTCTGACTTTTCAACTGGGCTAGATCATTGGTCAAGCATTCTGTAAACCTGAAAACTTGCAAAATTCCCATTGCTGTAGTTAGCGCATGAGCCTTCTGACTGGCAGGAGTAATTTTATTTTGGCCAAAGCCTCTAGTTAAGCCATTTTACCAAGGACGCAACTTGTAGGTCGTGAGGCTTTCCCCGCCCACGGCTTCATGCTGGCCTGCCAACGGCTTCTGTTGCAACTGTTTTGTCTCCCAGTGTTCACAGAGTTTAGAATGCAAACACAGAAAATGAAAGCTTCACCCAGATTATGAAAGGCAGTACAAGAAAAGAGGATATCTTACTTTTAATTTTGTCTCGTTCCGATTCTGATGGGAATATCCAATCTGGGAAGAGTTCTTCAAATTTGATTCCTGGATACTTTGGTCTGTTTTCTACATAATTCCTCACCGTTGGCTGAAGTTTCTTCATAAAATCTGCAGACGGTGTTCCTAACTGTTCAATGACTTTATTCCACTGATCAATATCTGAGGAGTCTCTTGAGGAAAATACAACTGAAGTGTCTTATATTCCCATTACATGAAGTAGCATCATTCAAAGACAAATAAATTATATTTATACCTGCCAACAAGTAAGTAGGCCACCGTACTGGGTCATTTTGAAATAATATTCAAATAAGGTTTGAGTGTCCAAGTTTAGATCATTAAAGAAACAAACTCTTATACTCTGCATCTTTATTAAAATAACACAATGTGGTCTACGTGCCGTCCTATTCTAGGTCAAACTAAAGTTATCTCGTAACTGAAGAATACCAATGACAGAAATGCTCATACATTGAATTAGACTGCAGTGACACAGGCACATTGAAGTCAGTTTTCATACTGAAGCCAGGTCAGATCCAAAGCCCCTGGAGCGGGGAGGCCTGTGGGACCCCTCGGCGCCCAGCTAGGGACGCAGAGCCCCCCGAGGCAGGGCCCACACCCGCCGCTTAGCTGCGGTTCCCATGTGCAGGGGGGAAAAAAGAGTTGTCTACACCTCTATCTCTGAACCCGCCTCCTGCTCTCTCTTGAATACTCTCTTGTCAGGCCTTCCCCCATCACTCCCTGAAAACTGGCCCATGGAGGCTGCCTGCGCTGCCCCTCACTCCTCGCCTCTGTGACAGCATCGCCCGGCCCCCCCGCCCGCGCCCCTCCCCGACCCGGCCTCTCAGGCCCCTCATGGGAGGGGCCTCTGCCCCCTTCTTGATCCTCTTCTCTCTGCCTCCCCCCGGGGGCCCCCTTCTTCACCCTCCCTTGCAGCCTTCCACACAGTGTCCTGGCTCCACTCAGCACCACGGATGGACCGCCCCTTAATGCCATCCTGTGCCTCCTTCCTGAGCTCAGCTTCTGATATCCCCAGGGTCTGCAGACGGCTCGGACCCACAAGCCTCTCCTGAAGGCTTCAAAACATTTGCAGTGTCCCAGCTCTCTGCGCCCCGCCCCTGCCGTCCTGGTGGCCTCCCTGCTTCAGCCTGTGGCCTTCGCCAGTCTAACCCTCAGCTCAGCAGCTGGGCCACCCTTTCCCGCTGAAAGTCGGATGGGTGCCTAGGAACAGGTGGGTGCTCAATAGCTACTGGGTCTGTGGTCAGCAGTTAGAGCAGGACAGGGACGGTGGGCCAGGTGCTGGAGGTCACCGGGCGGAAAGCCCCGGGTGCCGGGCAACGGGCAACACCGGGAAAACAAGGGCCTGGCCCCCAGGATGACCTCTTCCCCCCTGGCACGTCACCAGTCACGCAGCTTAGACCCCTTGGAATGGGAACGAACAAGGAGCTGGGGAACAGCCCTTCAGCATGGAGCCCCCAGGACAGGGAGGTCCTGACCCGCATCAAATACGTCCAGGCCTCAGTTGTGCCTCAGCCCCAGGCCCAGAAAAGCAGGAAGACCAGACAAGTGACACCCTGGCTGCCCCGGCACCAACCAGTCTGCAGACCACGACCCCGAAAGGACACACCTGCAAAGCCAAGGACTGCTGTACCGACACCCTCCCCTGGGCTCCACCCTTCAGAGCCCTTCGGAGGAGGACCCAGCAGGCTCTCCTTGGGGCACCTGGCGTCTTTCCCCTCCCCGCCTCTTCCTCTCAGTGCCTTACCTTTACCTTTCTCTGGCCTGAGCCCCAAGGACCCTTCTTTTGCCTCTGTAACTTGTTTCTTGAGCCCTTTTCTTCTACCGCTCACTTTCTCTACCTCTGTGACTTTCTAAATAAGCTTTCTCTTATAGTTGAGTCTCGCCTCTGAATTCTTTCCTGGCCAGAACGCAAACACAGAGGCTGCTGAACCACGGTCCAGACTGACCCCACCGGTCTGACCTGGGGGGCTATCCTCGCTGCCAACAAATCTGTGATAAAGGGTCATGTCTACAGGGTACAGCGGGGTAGGCAGCAGGAGGGGAGTCCCAGTGGCCTGGCTGGTGTCCTGGTGTGTGAGCGCCTCTGTGCTCGCATTATCCTAAAGAGGAACCGGGGCTCAGAGAGGCCTTGGCTTTGCAAGGATGCAGACAGCACGGACGAGTCACAGCTCGACCCATGGTGGTCTGGCTAAAGCCTCCTCTCTCTCATAGGCCACGTCAGGACAGGGTTCCTTTCTGCTCCAGGTCACAGATCTAAAATAATCTACAAGAACTGCAATCTGGGTTCCAGAATCTTCTTCTATCCTAATAATTCTTAATCTGCTTGAAAAATTGGCAAAATTATCTTTGGAAAATTATGATAATCTCCATTTGTGTTCTGAGAATGGCATTAGGTGACCTTATATATAATTATTAATTACTGACATTGCAAGATATTAATATGTAAAGCAGGAATTTTAAATTACTAATGTACTAAAAAGTACCCATACTTTTCATTTTTATACTTTCTGAAGAAAACATTTCTTAATTAATACAAAAAGGGAAGGCACAAAATGAGTAAGAATTGAGACAAACAATGTTAAACAGATACTTCCAAATTATTTATCTTTAGAATAGGTCAACTTTTCCCTTTTTAATTGACTTTATTTGCAAAATAAAGGCCTCCTTACAGTTTTGAAACAAGGGAATCTAGGGTAGGCTATGGGAAACCGCTAGAATACTTATTAGAACAAAATAAAATGCTGCATTTAACTTCACATAAAATCTGTGATGTGGAAAATGTAAAGGAAGGTAAATAAAATTACAGGAACAAAATCTTTTCATTCCAAATTTGTGTTGTGAAGAATTTAAAATACAAGAAAACCACCCTCAAAAAATTATAAAAAGAAACTAAAATTACTTTAACAAAATATAACCATTGACTACACACCTTGATTTCCTTTAAAAATAGCTATCAATCGGCAATGAACTCAGACACTTAAAGCTTTCATAACAAAAAACAAAATCAAAGACTAATGAAAATATTAAGTGGTTAGAACACAAATAAAAAAGGACATTATGTAAAGAACAATGTTAGAGTAAAAAATATTAAAGATGGCAGAATATGAGGAATATGAGGAAAGAAAGATATATTATCTACTCTACGCTATGTCATTAATATGATTTCCTGACCACAGGATAAGTTAATCTTTCGTATTTCAAATTTATTTTAACCTCACAGTGTCTCACAAAATAACCTGCTAAAAGGATCTTTTAAAAATTTCTACAAAATGTCAGCAGAGTAACAAACAAGAAAATTTACCATATATTGCTCCTTACAAACTTTCACTTCAATCTTTTTCATTCAGGTTGCACGCCGTGTGCTTTAGTTCATTGGGGAAGATATTCTAATGTACACGGATAGTTAACAAAATGGTGTATTAATTAAATAACGCAAGAATACTGGCCTATTAGATTTAGATAGCAACTTGCCTAGTTAAATTAATTGAATGAACTAAATAAACAGTATTTTCATTTATATCAGAATACATTAATCAAACAGTAAATAAGTTTCTAATAAGCTATTTATGATAACATTAAGAGCCAATTATAATTGGTTTAACTTAACTCCAAAGCTCGATAAAATCATTAGAGGTAGTCAAGTGAAAAAGGAAACGTCAAAGTGAACGGTCTGGTTTGTAATACTAACTGAACAAGCACAATGGAGCCCCCGTGAACCCAGCCTGCACTTGGGACAGTCTCCTCTGAGCGCGGGCTGCCCGAGGGTTTAAGGGAAGCGCGGCGGGGAGGTCCCAGGAAGGATACGGTCAGTGCCTTGGAATATCACACAACCTTTCACCAGCTCGCCCATGATGCAACCCACTGACCAGATGTCAACTGAAAATAAAATGAAATGATAAAATTATAAAGTGCCATGAACAAAACAAAGGTGAGGAAAAGGAACTCTAACAGCGCACTGAACACAGAAACGTGGAAGAACAAATGGCGAAGGGTGGACCCCACACAGTGTGAACGCCGTCAGCCTTCACCGGGGCGGCCAGCGGGCAGCAACCTGGGGTTTCAGTGCCGGAGACGCCAAAACTTTACAGCTTAAAAAACAAACGAAACCCCCGAAGCAAGCAGTGCCTGTCCACCCGAGGCTGCGTCCGGCCACACCCCCTCTGCCCAACCCCGTGGCCAAGGCAGGGTCTCCCTGGGAAGGATACAGTCTCTTCCTGGGAACAGGACTTTATGGAGGACCATTTCTGCCATGATGCACCCGACAGACCAGATGTCCACTACCAAACACCAGGTGATTAAAGCCAGCAGGAGACCCACACCTCTTTCCTCAGACCCCCTCCCGCACGCGAACCCACTGGTTACCGGGAGCTCTTGTAAAACGCCCGCGCCTCCTGAATGGCCCTTTTCTAGGCAGTCTGTAAGCGGGCCTCAAGGAGGCAGCTGGCTTTCCTGGGCTCCAGGTGGGCGCTGCCGGGACTCCCCTTTTTCTGTGGGGCCGGCTGGCGCCCAGGCCTCGCAGGGCAGGCAGAGGCTGTGCAGGGCGCCTGCTGCGGGGCGGGGGCGGGGCGTGGGGGGAGGTAACCAGGAATCCGATCTCCTCCCCTTCCCCAGGGAACGGCAGGAGCCCACAGGGTGCTGCCTCTCAGAGCAGGAGCACAGGCCGCAGGGCAGGGCTCGTCGAAAAGACCAGCATCCCGCCATCTTTCTTTTTGACAAATTGTGAAAAGTTTGAAAGACCTCTGATATTGCTAAAATAAGTTTTGATGTTAAAAAACACCAATTTTATGCAAAAAGAACATGTATTATTCTGTTTATATCAAGTGCAAAGATAAGCAAAACCAATCCATGGTGCTAGAAAGTAGGGCGAAGGCTGCCCTTGGGCGGGACCCCGGGCTCCGGGCGGCGCCGGCCTGTGGCTGCGCTCCGGCGGGTGCCCACGGAGGCCTGCAACCTTTCCTGTAGGTACGTCACACTCTGCTAAACGTCCAAAAACATTAAATTCAAAAGTGAATGACTGTAACTCATGGAGATACAGAAGTAATGATTTCTTACATGTGGATTATGATAACCTGTGTGTGACACAGTCCCCATGTTACACTGCCCGGAGTTCACAGGAAGGAGACACACCCGGGAGGGCCGCGGCACTGTCGGGAGGCGTCTCGCCTCTCCCGGGCCCCTGCGCACTCACCGTTCTCCTTGTAGCCCATGCCCAGGATGACCTCGGGCGCCCGGTAGTACCGCGTCACCACATAGGGGGTCATCATGAAGTTGGTGCACGCCGTCCGGGCCAGGCCGAAGTCCAGGATCTTAAGGGTGCAGTCTGACTTTACTACGATGTTGCTAGGTTTCAAATCCTGGGACAGAAACGGTTTAGATGAATAAAATGAATCAGCATGCTAAATAAACAGCCTCACACGGGCAAGGCCTGGTGAGGCCTGTGACCACTGAAGGACTGGACAGCACTGGCAGGAGGAGGAGGGCGGGAAGCAAACCGTGGCATTTTGGACAACGTGGGAAATCCTACTCTCAAACTGAAATGCATACAAATAACCCTGAAGAGGTCAGATGGTAGCTCTCACCCCCACGTGGGAGCCTTAACGATCCTTCCCCGCTTAAAGCCTTGCGAGGGGCGCTGGCTAGGCGGAGGGCCGTGGGACCGGCACCCGGCATAAGCCACGGGGTTGCCGGGGGGTAGGGGCACGCCGCCAGGCGCACCCCGACCCACCCCACGCCCAGGCCCCGGCTGGCAGGCATGGCGTCCCTGGCGTGGCGCTGCCTCCTGAGCAGCAGGAGAGGGCAGGGACAGATGGGGATCTCTTCCAGGTTCAAGGCTGTGTCAGCCCATCCCGTGGAAAACGCAGTTTAACAGCGGGTTCAGCGACAAGTGCCGGAACTCCGTTCAAGGGAAGCCCTCGGCACAGGCGGCACAGACGGACGAGCTGGGAAGGGGTGGCTGGTGGATGGCTGCTGGTCCGACAGCTGCAGCCGCCACCAAGCAAGTCCCCGGGACCGCCTCCCAGCCGGCTGCTGGGGTGATCCAGGGCCTCCTCGTGGCAGTCGAAGATCACTCTGAATTGCTTGGCTAAATGCAGGACCACATCCCAGGGCGGGCTGCACACCCTCCCCGATAGGGACCCCATAGCAAAATACGGTGCCAAGAGAGCCTCCCTAGCTCTCTCATGTTGGGCACAGAAGACCTGCCGCACACGTGGCTGGAGCCCTTGAGGCCTGAGGCCAGGCCTCGGCAGGCACTGGTCCCTTGGGAGAAGAGAAGCGTCGCGTGGAACCTTGGCTTTGGCCACTTCTTGGGTTGTATGCTTTAGCTTTGCGCCCCCGACCCCCGCGGCTTCACTAGCTGGGACTGATCTGTAAAGCAGGTTGGAAACACCAGTGGGTCACATTCGAAAAAGACAAACTGCTGGCCATGGCGTGCGGAGGGGTTGGCACTCTGGGCACCTCCACCGCTGCGACTGCTCGGGGCCCTGGGTTCTTTGGAGTAGTGGGAAAACGACGATGTTTTATATAGGAAAATGCCTTGCCTCAATAGTTGCATATATTCAAGGAAATAGTTGTTTTCTTGTGTTCTTGAGGTTCATGAGTAAAGCCATCCCTTCCCCTAGATGCAATGTTTGGCCTCTTAGAATGCGCATGTTCTCTCAAGGCAGTTGTTTTGACAGCCTTCAGGAGCAGGCCCTGAACACCAGATGCTGGCATCTAAAATTGTCTAAAATCTAAGATACTATTCCATTCTAACCCAGTGCCAAATTGCTAGCAGCTGGCACCATGGGCTCTCAGATCTTTCTCTAGGGGTACTTGGGACACTCATATACCTATGTGCAAGCACCGTTTTACACAGAAGTTCTCACTTATTTGTGTGGAGGATTTGGTTCTTGTTTCCTGTGATGTGACTGGTCTGCTCAGCCGCGGCCCGCTGGCAGCCTCCCGAAAATCACCGGCAGCCTCTCTCCTCCTCTGTCATGGAAACCCTGTGTGAAGGCGGTTCCTCCATGGAGATACATCTAGCAACTGATTCTAAGCCATCATCCTTTATTGCTCTCGGCTCAGGAGATGTGACAGGTACGGATGTTCAATTTGTACCTATGATTTACATAGAAGAGGAAGAAAAAAACCCAAGTTTCTAGCAAGGAGCTGTAGGAGACTCAACATCCACCCTCGGGGGGACAAGTGAATGAACGCGGGACGTGCCTGTTGCTGGTCCCCAAGCCCTAGGCGCGCTTGCTGTTCCCAGCACAGCAGTGAATCTCTGGGTCACGGCTGGGGGTGCCTGGGCCTCCGATCAAGGCTCAAGGCGTGCCCCCTGACGAGCGCTGCTCCCTGCTCTTGGGGGGGCCATCACCACGTAACTCCTTTCCGGGTCCCTCGCTGACCCCAGAGTTGGGCAAGGTCTTTGTCTTTTTCTGGTCGTTCAGGTTGTTGACCTTGGAGCAGGGCTCTAGTTTTACAATCTGCTGTCAACGGTTTTTCCCCACTGGAGTTCTTTCTTTGGGCCACGTTTGGCAGCCAGTCTGTTTCTGCAGTTCGGAGCAGTCATTCCCTTCCTCCCGTTCCTTCTTACGTTCATCTTCCCAAAGTAGTCTGTCCCCATAAATAAATTTCTTTAGAAGGTAAACTGTGTCTGACAATTGTTTTTAAATGTTAGAACCCAAGAAATGTATTCAGTTTGCTGCAGACTTTTCGAATTCTCTGTGTATTCACTGGGTGCTTGACCAAACTTTGTACGTGAAAGAAGTGTGCGTGTTCAGATGTTTTACCATCTCATTCTTCTCGGTAAAGAAAAAAGCCTTCTGAGGGCTTCCGCACCACCCCTCCCCCACCTCCCTGCCTCCCCGCCTCCCTCCACGCCCGGTCGGTCGTCTTTCAGTTCCCAACACCATGGCTCTTCCCTGCTTCCAACAGGTGTACTAACACATTTTCCAGTAGCTACCTTAAAAAGAGTGAATAGAAACAGGTAAAACTTATTGTAACAATACATTTTATTTAATCCAATATATCCATAGTATGGAGGAAAGAATGCGGGTAGGAAATAAATAAAATGGAGTCACTTTAACCAAGCTGCTAAAATTGTTAACATTATGAAGTCTGAGGCCTAAGGAAAGACTCTATTCTTGTTCTGAGTAGCCTGAGAACTTAAACTTTTTGAACTTTCCAGACCCGCGTCACTGCCTGGACACACACCAGAGCCCCGGACAACCCTCTGATGAGCCCGAGGGACTCAGGTTTGCAGGCCACCTGTTGTCGCCCTGCCATCCCGGGCCCAGGCCACGGGGCGGGAGCAGGCCGCCTGGCCCCCGACGGACGGCCACCCTGGGCCAGTCCTAGGGCAGAGCGGTCCCAGGAATGCGCTTTTTACTACAGAAGCTCAACTTTTCTTTCTTCTGGGTTTTTGCCTAGTGTGTTCCCAGTATGCAAAACTAAGACCCTGGAATAAATCTATCATTTATTTCTCACCAAAGCCTCCAGGCTCTTTTTGAGTTTGCCTGACAGAATTATTTGTCATTTTAATTACAACAGTCTGGGAGCTCAGTAGCCTTGGGTGACAGGCGCTACCACACTGGACAGCACCGGGCTCGCAGCCCGCCCCCCGCAATCTCCCCCCAGCGCCGTCTTCCCTTGGTAGACAATTCCGTGACCCCCAACCCCAGGCCCGGCCCGACCCACACCCCTGGCCTGCGCACGTGCACAGCCCCCTCGCTGTTCCCCCACCCCACGTGCAGGCTCCGGGGGGCGGCCCTGCTGCGCTCCGCACTCAGGACGGCGCCGACAGGGTCACTCGGGAAATGCCTGCTGAGGGGCACAAGGCCGCACCCCACCACTCTCACTGCTTTCACACAACTTCTGTCGCTCTTCCCTCCAACTCGGAGGCCTTTCTTCAAGCTGATCTTCCACAGCCCAGCCCCTTCCTCAGGCCACAGGAATGTACTTTTGCCTGGGGACGCCAACCACAAACCCACCCTAGAAACTGTGACTTCTGACCAATCCATTCCTCCTCTATTCACAAGCGTTTCCCAATGCCTAGTGTCAAACGGCCAAGTCGGGCCTCACCGAAGCGCCTAGGGGGCTTGAAGTGGGAAGTTTCAGGCCCACTACCTGACTTAAAACTTTCCAGCTCAGGTGCCGCAAATGGGCGTCTGATGCTGTGAAGTGTTGCTGGGATAAGCAGAGGACCATTTAAAAATTACAACAGCTAAAGTTCTGTTCTATTACTATTAAATACTCTCCTTCTAAAATTTCTGATTCAGGAAAACAGAAATTATAAACAGTTTTTTGGAAACAGCGAAAATCCTCCCAAGTCCTGTGCAGACGCCCTGGCCCCTAAGGTCCCAGAGCCCTGCACGCGTCCAACGTGGGTCCCAGGGGAGCAGGCCACCCCGTTCCCCCCCCCCACCACCACCCCAGCCACTGGCCGCACGCGGCGCAGCCGGGCAAGGGTTGGTCACATCCACCTGGCAGCTGTCCCTGTGAGAAGACGCACACAGTAAGGCAGCTAACACAGAACAATGCAATTTGTTTCTAGTTTCCTTTTTCAAAAATCAAAGAATATGGCAAGAATATGGCAAGAACAGGCAATTCAGAATACAAATAACTAAAAGATAAAATAATGCTCAACTTCACAGAAAATTTCTTTCAAAACCTCAGACAATGAGGAGCAGCACAGCAATGCCCTGTACTGGTGGCAGGGACCCAAGCAGACCCTTCAGCCTGGGCTGAGGCCTTTTTAGGAGGCTGATTTTTTAAACAATTAAAATGTCTACACACAGAGCAGCCCTTGCCACCCAACCTGGCCTTGAACTACAGCAGAGCCGCACGAACTAGGGTGACGGGGCCCTGCTGCGGCCAGCTGCAGAGCCTGAGTGAACTGGGAAGCAGGCCCCCTGTTTCCAAGGCATCCACCTGTGCGAACACTGCCGTGTTGGTCTGATCCTGTGGGTGACTACGCTTTACCGCCATCTGCTGGGAAATGGCGATAAAATGCAAACAAGGAGGCCGGTCAGAAGGGCTTAAAGCGGGCAGGGCCCAGGAGGGCTGCCCACTGATGGTGGCCAGCCCCACTCCCATCAGCTGCACACATGGCCAGAGGCGGCTTTCCAGGACGAACTGGACTTGCAGTTTTAAGGGAGCAGAGTAAAGACAGCTCTGCCTCTTTAACTCTTAAAAACCGTCCAAAACAAGAAAACCAGGAACACATGTGAAAATACAAATGACATCTGAATTTGGGGGCCTGATCCACAGAGTGTAGGGACAGCTAATACAGCGTGGCATCCCCCAGCGGCCACCGGGGAGTATGAGTGGCCCACAGGGAGACAGTCCAGACCAACACCCAGGGACACCCAGGCCCAGGAAGCAAGCGGCGGGCACTGGGGATGGCAGGGCGATGCAGGAAGGGACACTGAGGGAGGGTTCCGGAAGGCAGAGATAGACCTCCAAGAAGAGAGGGGCTCCTTCCTTACTCTCACTGGCTCATCACCTAGAAGAGCTAAAACCAACTGTCCAGAAGGGACTCAGACTCCAGACCAACAGATCCTCTGGTGTAAGACCCGGGAGGGGCGTGGGTGAGGGGCGCAGCCTGTGAAAAGCACTGACTGGTCACCACGATGAAAACCACATTGTGGGTTCTGATCCAAACCCAGCTACAGAATCTCCTGGGAGGCGGGGGGACTGGACAGGTGAGGGTCATGGAGGGTGAAAGAAAACTAAATCAGCAACTTAGCCTCCAAATTTAAAAAAAAGTCAACAGAGATCTAATCATATTGTTCCAAGATATGGAGATGAACACCAAAACAACAGCTAAAAGAAGTGAAAGAGCTTGTTTCCGGCAAGAGAGAAAAATGAGGGAGGAGTTGGGATTCTGCTTATTTTTTTAAATAAATATTTGTAGAACTATTTGATCCTTGATTAAAATAAAAAACAAATCAACCAGCTCATTAAAAAATTGCAGGACAATTATATACAAGATGATACCGTTTTTGAAATATAAGTTGAAAAAGACATAAGCATAAACAGATACACTGGTATCAGCTTACGTAGGGAGTCTGTATCCACCTGAAGTGAGGATGGAAACACCTCCTCCCTGCCCACTCCCCCACCCTCCGGCACTGGCTGCCTCCAGGTGGCAGTGGAGTGCTTAGGGATTCTTAATTTTTCAAATTATATAAAGTAAAAAGTGGTGGGACTATGCTGTTTTATTTTTAAATAACTAAAATTTTACGCAGAGTATAAAGTCATCTTCTGAGTAAAATTGAAAGTGTGTGCCAGGAATGAAACTATGTGCGGTACTGACTGAAAGTGTGCACCTATGTGCGCGGTACTCACTGAAAGTGCACCTGTGTGCACAGCACTGACTGAAAGTGCATCTGTGCGCGCGGCACTGACTGAAAGTGTGCGCCTATGTGCGCGGTACTCACTGGAAGGGCATCTGTGCGCGCGGCACTGACTGAAAGTGTGCGCCTATGTGCGCGGTACTCACTGGAAGGGCATCTGTGCGCACGGCACTGACTGAAAGTGTGCGCCTATGTGCGCGGTACTCACTGAAAGCGCATCTGTGCGCGCGGCACTGACTGAAAGTGTGCGCCTATGTGGGCGGTACTCACTGAAAGCGCATCTGTGCGCGCGGCACTGACTGAAAGTGTGCGCCTATGTGCGCGGTACTCACTGAAAGCGCATCTGTGCGCGCGGCACTGACTGAAAGTGTGCGCCTATGTGCATGGTACTGCACCGAGACAAAGGATGGGGAGGGTACACAGACTAAAGGTTAACTGTACTGCCTCACCTCTCAGGACCTGGAGCAGGGTGAGGTGGGCACACATGGCCTTTCCCTTCTGTTTTATCTGCTTTTCCAACATGAGCATGTGGCACCTTCACAGGCAGGGAGCCTGGCAGGCTCTGGACGGTGTGAACAGGATGGAGAGCTGGCCCACGGAATCATCTGCTCAGGTCTTCTCAGGTTTCTGAACTCCGTCTTTGGACCACAGCTGACTTCCGGTCAGCAGCTGTGGGCCCAGGCTACAGGGTCTGCACAACCCCTAACACTGGCCCCTGTCACCTCTTACCAGGTCCTGGGCACTGGATGGTGGTATTTTCCCAGAAATCTCCGGGCTTAAGAGGGAAGAAACAAACAACGCAAACCCTTTCCCCTTACAAAGTTAATACAACTTAACATAGTAATCTGGGCACTTATTCCAAAGCATGAATTTAATATAAAATATATTTAAGAGATATTCAGAATGCCTAAATTGTATAAACATCCATGAAAATTTTAGGAGAGAAATACATGGTACGTTGGGAAATCTTCATTTTTAATTTTTAAAAAAGTATTATTTTGAAAGATTCAACGGAACTTGTGTTGTTTTAACTGAACACTTGGTGGCAGCAGAGGGTGTATTTTACTTAATAGCTCTCTGGTCAGGCGCCAAGTGCTCACCAGCCAGCCTACCAGCCAGGGAAAGGCCCGGGGAGAACCAGGGAAGCCTCGAGCGTGCTGGCCTCACGCTGCGGACCTGAGGCTCAGGGCAGGGGCAAATGCTGCGCCCTCTCTGAGTGGGTGGGTTCTGTCACCATGGAGACCTCCATTCAGCAGCTGTGATGGGACCAACCTTTCCTGGCACCTAAAGGATCTACTACACCATTGAAAATCTCTATTCTTCTCTGTATGAATAGGCTTCATTGTTCTTGTCTCACTATCTTCCTCCGCATACAGATTTAGTTCCAAGAAATGACAATTTCTTGATGTTGAAACATAGTATCTAAAGAGGCTGTGAACAAAATTAGTACGGTAATAATTTAGAGAATGCTATAAATGCTTCCAATAAAATTACATTATTTCCACCTCTAATCTCACTCAACACTTTGTTTCAGAACTTCTATCATGATGCTCTGCTTATAAAGCAGTCCAAGTCAAAAAATAAAAACTCATACAACCAGCTTAGAGAATTCCATTGTATCTCCCTGGCTTTTAACTGTTACTTCCTGACAGTACAGGCAACTGTCATCAAACCCCGGTGTTAGTCCAGAGGCCCAGCCGGGTGGATGCTGGAGTGGCAGAGTTACAACAGAAGAAACAGAATCTGGGCCATAATTTATGCAAGATTTTTCAAACACCTTTATCATTTACTACTTGGCCTCTACATTTCCCCCCACTCCAAATCCAATCCCTTGATTCATTAAGCATGGGATTTCAAATATAGCAAAAAGAGTAACAATAGGTGAATATGGGTAAATGGTACTTAGGAGGTCTCTGTCCCATGTTTCTGCAGTATCAAGCCGAGCGCCTGGCGCTGGCCTGCCTCTAACGCGGCCCACACGAGCCCAGGCCAGCCAGGCAGACACAGATCTCTTCTGATCTCAGAAATGTTTGGAAACTCAACTCAATCCCATAGTTTATGTGGTTTTTCAACACCGATAAATTTTTAAAAAAATATTAAGTTCTTTTGTATCTGGAAGATTCTGACAACAAAATGATTGTGATTTTAAAAATAAAATGAATATGGCATCACTACTTACTCGATGAATGATACCAGCTGAATGAAGGTGTTTAATACCACAGAGCATCTGGTACAGAAGGTAGGACATTCTCTCATGGTCCAGCTCCATATGAATAACCTGACATAAGTTAGCGTCCATTAATTCCATAACCAAATACCTGAGGGAAAAAAGACCAGTCATGTACACATAAAAATCATCCAAAATTCCTTTATGGCTATTAAGCCAGAATTTTTATGAAAAAGTAATATCTTACTCCCTAGTCAATGCACTGGCTAAAGTAAAATACCCTTTGTCTAAACACTTTATAAAGTGTCTTGAAAAGAAGCAAATGTACAATGGAACTTTGTAAATGTTTTTTTTTTTAAACACACAACTAACAATGCAATGTCTTTCAAGTTAAAAACAAAAACAATTTTTACATCATAGTAAATTGAATCTCAAACATCCAAATTCTCCTACATCTGAAATTTTTGTGCTATGGAATCATTCTTACCAGTATAGAAACCTGCTGTTATTTCTCTTATCTTAAGAAAGCTTGATTCCCAGGGATGTAAAAGGAATAGTCAATAATATTGTAACAAATGTGGTGCCATGTCGGCATTGGACTTATCAGGGGATCGCTTCCTTACATTATACAGTGTCTAATCACTGTGCTGCACACCTGAAGATACTGCATATACACCTGAATGATACTGCATGTTGCTGGTAATTGGGAAATAAATTAATTTAAAAAAAACAAACTTGACCTCAGTCCCCCCAGCAGCTATTCTGCCCCCCTTTATTATTCCATCTGTAAGCAAGACTCCCCAAAGAGGTGTCTACACTCACCATTTCCACTTCTCCCCTTTGCCTTGGTCCCGCGTTGATCAGGCTTTTGCCCCCTCCCCCTGCTGAGACCGCCCTCAAGGCCCCCCAGTGACTTCCGTGTTGCTAAGTCCTGGCCGACAGGGCCCTGCTCCTCTCGGGGCGGCCAGTGCTCGTGCTCGGCGCTCAGCCTCCGGCCCGGCACAGCCTTGGCGATCTCCCCGGTCTCTGGTCTCAACGCTTTAAGTACCACCCACGGACCACCAGCTACACATTCATACCTTCACCCCAGACCTCTCTCCAGGCTCCTTTATCTAAGCGCTCACTTCTAGCTCCACGTGGGAGACCGGCAGACGTCTCAGTCACGTCCAAAGCTGGCCCCCGAGCGCGCCGCCTGCGCTCTCCCTGCAGCACCCTCTGTCCCGATGGAGCGCCTTCTCAGCAGCAGGAGGGCGCCCAAACCCCAGGCGCCACCTGCGGCTCTCTCACCACATGCCCTCTCCCAGGGCAAACGCTGCAGTTCCACCCTCTGGCACTTTCGGCATCCAGTCTCATCCCTGGACCACATTAGCACCCCTCTGGTCTAAACGAGGCCACCGTGACCCCTCGCCTGAACTGCTGCAATCACTGCCCAATTGGTCGTCTGTATCCCCACACCTTATGGTGGTTTCCCAACCCAGAAACCGAAGTCTTTAAAAATGAAAGTCAGGTAAGCGCCTCCCTCTGCTGCATGTCTTACTCACTTGCCTGAGGACAGAAGGAGCCGCTTCTACCGGCCTGGAGGACGGACAGTGCTGGCCCCATCCCTTCTCACCCTCCGTCCTGGCCCCGCGCACGGGCCCCCTGCTGTTCTCACGGCACACCAGGCGCGTTCCCACTCCTGCTCCTTCGCAGGGCCTGTTCTCCGGACTCGTCCATCTTCCCAAATCTCTGCGGGACCCACCTCCTTGCCCCCTCCAAGGCTTTCTCCAAGTGTCGCCCATCCAGTGAGGTCTTACCCCAGCCCCAACCCTCTGACTTCAGACTCCCACCTGAGCCCTAACGCCAGCACTCCAGGTGGCCCACCCAGCTGCACCTCCCCCGCAGCACAGCCACACCCATGCATGACACCTTTCCGTCCTTCTTAAGGTCGATTCTCTCTCTTCCCTGGCCTTCCTGCACCCGTTAGAAAGGAGGCTGACCACCGGCAACTCTTAACTAACAAAAAGGATGTTTTTCTTGCTTTGGCTACTAAAGTATGCCAAGTCTAAGCGAATGCGCGCACAGGGCTGGCCATCAAGTATTTGTTGGATGAACGAATACACCAATAAATTTAGACTAAATTCATATTTCATTTCATTGTTAGTAAGATAATTCTATTTCAGATTCTGGAAACACAATGTGTAATGACAACCATTTTAAATAATAATTGTAAACACCTGAATTCTACAATCCTGGCTTTTGAGGAACTGGAACAAAGTGTTTAATATTCAGTAAAGCAAATTAGTGGAAGTAATGGTTACTGTCTGCTCTGAAGAGCCGCGTCTGTTGAGGAGGTGACAAGTACCCAGGTGCAGGCGGCTGAGGCTCACTGTCCATTTCCCTAACGGTTCCCTTCCACAGAGAAAGGAGCCAAGACAGCATTAAAAATGTACTGTTACCCAAAGCAAAAAAGAAGAAAACAGCAGTTACTTTCATAAGTAAAGAAAAAGCAGCTACTTTCTTTTCTAAGTATTCAGTCTTTGATGCATAGTACATTACTGAATAAAAATGATACTTACACATCTTGAAATTCTTCTAGAGTTTTTTGTGGTGTAAACACATTTAATAAACTAATTATCTGGAAAGAGAAAATCAGTTAAACCTCAGAATGTCAGATGACTCTAAAAATTAAGTTTAACATATCAAAATTAAAAATAAAAACAATTACAGCAGAGCTCAGTATTTATTTTTATTGTTTTTACCAAAAACATTCTATTACACCATATTTTAAAAAAGTTAATGATTAGGATTCTCACCTAGGAAATAAGATGTACTTTTAATCAAATCATTTTTGTGCGTCCCTACTAATTTATTATTAAATAATTCTAACATATATTGTGTCTCTAACTCTGAACATACAAAAGTAGGAATTATGGGCATAAAAACACTAAATAAAGCAACATACTCCGAAAATGTAAATACTGTGTGCAAATTTCTAAAACGTTTTGAAATATGAAGGCCGAGCTTATGTCTTTGGGATAATGACAATGAAATGCCCCAGAGCATTTGATATTTACTTACAGAGGGTTCTAGAAGGGGCTTTGGTCCTGGCAGCGCGGAGCTGCCTGGGCATCAAACGTGCATCCTCAATCATTTTAAGCGACCGAGGGAAAGGGAAATTACTCAGTATGTGGAACTGGGGTGGTTGGCTAACCAAGGAAAAAATAGAGCTGGATCTACACTTCCATCTTTATTTACACCAAGATAAGCTTGGAATGCAACAAAGACTTAATCCTAAAGCATGAAAGCATAAAATGTGGATAAACATTTATATAATCCTTGTATAGAAAAGCCTTTTGTAAGTATGACAGGAAACCTAGGAAATCTGATTCCATTAAACCAAAACTAAAATCAACCCGACAGAAATAAAACCAGTTGGGCAAAAGCAACCTAAACAAGGTCAAATGGAAAAGAAAAAGTGAGGGTTAACAGCTGACACATACAAAGGTGTTCCATAAATGCGTGAGGAAGAGGTCAACAGCCCAAAGGAAAAACGGAGAAAGGCCATGGAAGACAAATTCTCAAGAAGTAAAAATAAATGGAAAGAAATTTAACTTCACAAATAAAAACATTTCTTTTGTCACCTGCCAGAAGACCAACAGTATGTGAGGCTGGAAATTTTGAAACAGAGACATTCTCAGATACTCTTAGTGAAAGCGTACAGCTGACAGCCTTCCTCGGAGCCAATCTGTCAGCGTGTAACAAAATCAGGGGTGCGCGCACTCTGGGACCCCCCGCTTTTGGTCCAGAAATCCAGCTGGTGACTGTGTCAAGATGCATGTGAAAGGCTGCTCCCCACAGCACTGCTCAGAGAAGGGAGAGACTGGAGGCAGCCGGCATCTCCAGTAACAGGAGACTGGTTAAGGAAGTTCTTGGGCACCGGTACTGGGCAGCCATTTAAAGAATGGTGTCTGTCTGCGTTCATTAATGTACAGGAGACCCAGCGGCATTCCATGAGGGGCGAAGCAGGGTGCATGGCCACACCACTGAGCTGTTCACGTGCGCGTGGGAGGTCACGTGCGCTCGAGGACGCTCACCAGAGCGTCAATGATGGGGATCAGAGGGGTGGGAGTCCAGTGTTTTGCTTTCTTGTTTACAATGTTAGAACTTTTAAAAATAATAACCGTATTTTTGTGATCTGAAAACATTTTTTAAAATAAGTAAAATAAAGCATGCTTCAAAGAAATTAAAATCAGACTGAAAGCACAGACTCAAAAGAATGACACCACCTGGTTGGGTATTCCGCAGGGACCCTTTAAAGACCCACTAAAACACTGGTTGTGATCGTAATCCCCCACAACAAACAGAGATCACATGGGGGGTCTCCAGAGGCCCTTCGGGACTTATCACCGCGACTGTGCTGCAGTGCAGTTAGGAAAGCAAGCCCAGAGGCCAGTGAAGAGCACAGACCGCGCCCGAGCACCCGCTTTGTAAAGACACCTCTTCTCCTTACAGCGGACAGTGCTTTGACTTCTGCGGGGACGGCGGGTACAGCCATCTTGAATATAACACCGCCTACTGCCATTTATTTAAAACTGAAATGTATTATAAGGTAAAAAGCTACTTACAGAACAATGTCTTTCTAAAAAACATTTAGCTGTTTCTTAATTTGCTCAGTCAGTACTGATGACATTTAATAGGAACAGAGCCCGTGGAAACCAGGCGGCTACAGGGTCGCCTGCCGCTCCCACCCGCCGCGGGGCCTGAATTCCCGCAGACTGCAGTGCCTCTTGCGCACCGCAATTTCCCCAATGTTGGAAAGAATTTATCAATAAAATATAACCATTTAAATAGTTACTTTTTAAAAGATTTTATTTATTTATTTTCAGAGTGAGGGAAAGAGAGGGAGAGAAATATTGATGTGCAAGAGAAACATCAATCAGCCGCCTCCTGGACGCCCCCAACTGGGGACCTGACCCGAAACCCAGGCATCTGCCCTGACTAGCACTTGAACTGCAGATCTTTCAGTTTGCAGGCCAGTGTTCAATCCGCTAAGCCACACCAGCCAGGACTAAATAGTTATTTTTATCACCAGGTTACCCTAGGTCTGGACTCAATGTGACCTACAAGATTATCACACCACTAACAACACTCAAGCACACTGAGGAAGCACAGGCATAACTTACATTTTTATGATTGACACATTTTAGGAGCACAAGTTCCCGATAAGCTCTCTTTGCATGCGTCTGATTTTGAAAAGGCCGGCTTAGTTTCTTGACCGCAACATTTATCCCAAGAACTGTATCAAAAGCAGCACTGTAATTAGGAAATATAAGAAGCAATCCATTAGAATGATTTTGCAAATACAGCAATGCAAAATGTACAAAGTATAATTTTTTTACATGAATAACAAGCAAGGAAAAATCTTCCTGCTTGTCTCCACCCAAGGGACTCCCCACAGGGAGGGCCAGGTGAGCTGGCTCAGGGCGCACGCAGACTGACGCGCCACGTGGACAGGACACGGCAGCTGCCGTTAGGACCGGGCTCGGCCATCCTGGGCATGCTGGCTTCTCACTATATTAGTTGCGATTATTACATTCAGAATCAAGTCACTTAATACAGAGCATGGAACATCGATCAAGAAATGAAACCTTCAGCTTAAATATGCTAGTAAGTTGTAACAAAGCCTCTAGTTATCACAGGATAAACTATATTTCAGAGTATCACAGTGGAGGAAATGGTTGAGCTCATGGAAGAACACAATGCACGTTTTGATTGACTGTGTTTTTCCCAGAAAGAATCTAAGAGGAACAGAAGCCAAAATCTCAGCTCGTGCTAAATCGCCAAGATACAAAATCCCTAACATAATCAATTGCTATATATAAAATTCTATGAGAAACCGCCTCATGCTGGTGTAGAAAGAACAGTATCTTCTAGGACCTGTGTTTCCAAGCATCTCCAGTTCCTACTCGAAATTTATCGTTGATTTTCCTCCAGAAAATAGACAGAAAAAAAAACTGAGTCGTCTGATTGCACATTTTGTACTAATTTTAAATGAGTACTAATAGCACCATTCATGTGATTATCGTTTGGCTCCCCATCAGGGGCTAAAAGCTGTTGAAGACCCCCCTGAAAACCCAAGCAACATTTCAAGTACTGCTCCTGTTGCTTTATCCTATTCAGTTTATAACATGGCCTATGTTCAGGCAATTCTATACATAATGTGTTTTGGCCAAAAAACCCTAATTCAACCTGCTTTTAAATTGAAGGCTGTAACATTTGGTTAAGAATGGCTACAAACTTCATGTCACTCTGGAATTATTTTTCCACTAGTTCAGTTCACATGCGTACATATTCACACATATATAAATTCTCATGATCATATATAAATGCACCTTTCGCCTAAATTATAAAATGTTAAAGAAAAAAACCTATTTGTGAAACAAATCATTAATTAGTGTACTTGTACGCATGTGTATTTGTACCTATATTTCCCAGTCTCAGGAATGTGAAAAAAGATACATATTTTTTGGTCTCTACAGTTTTTGTCCAAAACGAGCCCCACAGACCAATTCTGGGTAGCTGAGCAGACACATACTGCCCCACCCCGGCTCCCACGCCAGCAGCGACCACCTGCCTGGTTTTACTCCTTGCAGTCATTTCTAAATTCCAAAGAACATACTTTTATCACTATTTTCTCATTTATCAACTTTAGAAATTATCTACTCATTCCCCATTATAAAAATGGAGAATTTAGTCACTTACTGGAAACCTCAACTTCTCCCAGTTCTTTGCTCTTGTGTTATTTTTAACGTTCCCTTGGTTACCCAAGTAACTTTGAATAACATGCCCAAACTTCTGTTCCATCAACTTCCAAAGGACCCACTTGACTCCGCAGTGCGTCAAATGGGACTTAAATTCCGTGTCCTTTTTCCTCCAGCTCCCTACTCTCCTTGCTCCAAACTTCTGTCTTACACGGCCAGCCCTGGTAACACCGATGTGATCTCTGTCACTGAGTCCTCCCAGTTTCTTACTCAGGCTGTGACTGAGAGTAGAAAGTCAGCAGCAGGGGGCGCGTGTGTCTATGCAGATCTGAGCAGTGCTGGCTGCAGAGCTGGGATTTTACTTCATTTCCTAAAGACCACACGACTCTTACTGCTGTTCATGAGAGGAGGTTGTTTCCAGCACCAAGGGCAAGTGCAGTCTGTTTTCTTACATTCCATCAATTGTTCAAACACCATATCCTTTAAATTTGTTTTATATTTAGACCATGATTTTTTCTAGTTTTTCCACTGCAGTTTCTAATAAATGCTTTTTCCCCTTATTAAGAGCAGGAAAACATTAACATACCTATTTAAGCCTACCACTGGTACTTCCTACCCTCTTACTCGTATTACTTATTGTTTGGAACCTATTGCATTCTTTCTGGAGACACTTTCTTGGGGTGTCTTTCAAGGCCTGCTGCACAGCTACCACCTGGAACTTCGTGTCGCTGGCCTTCACTGTTTCTTGTGTCACTGTGCTGGCATTCTTTTCCTTGGCGTACGCCCTCGAGGAATATCCTCAGAAAACGTGTGTGGGAGATAACTGATCTCCCTCTGCCCTAGCCCTTGACAGTTTGTCCACTAAGTCCAAAACCAGTCGTCTCTCGGAACGCCATGGACTTCCAACGCCGGGCACTGCTGGAGATGAGGCTTCTGTCTGCCTGACAGCCACTCCTTTGTTTCCTTTTTTGTTCCTCAGCTCAATGACTTATCACAAAGAGCATGTTTTGTCAGCATCCCCAATCACCCCACACCCCTTGCTAATCACTGTCCCTCCTTCCCCGTTTCTGACTTTTACGATAACCACTTCCTTGCTTTTACCAGCTAAACATGCATCTTTAAGCCCCACCCCATGGTTTATTTTTGCCTGGATTTTGAAATCATCTGTGCCTGGCTTCTTTCGCTCAACACTACACTCGTAAGATTCATCCATTGTTGTTTTGCATAGCTGGCCTTCATTCTGTGTCATTGCTCTAATATTCATTTGCACGACTGTATGACATAAGGTTGTTGTTTTCAATTTGCAAGCAATTACAAAAAACATGGCTGCAGACATTCTCTTACACTGCTCTGGGTATCCCATGCGTGCGTTTCTGGTGGGTAGATAGCTAACAGCGGGATTGCATGTCTTTTATTTTAGTAGGTAGCACCAAACTACTTTCCAAAGTGGTTCGTCCTACCAATTTCTAGGCATATTATTATTACTATCATTATTATTGTATATTGACCATATGTCCTGCAAGGGAGCTAAACATACTCTTCACTTTAACAAAAGGGAGACGGGGCGGAAGCCTCTGGGAGAAGAGCCGGCCCTGGCTGACTGACAGCAAGGGAGCGGGGCCTCCGGCTTACAGCCGCCACGGCCGGGCTCTGCCAATAACTTGAAAGCACCCGGACGCCGTCTTCCCTGGCCTCCGATGACAGCCCGGTCCAGGTGCCGCCCTTCCTTCGGCCTGTGTGAAGCTGAGCAGAGAACCTGGGCACGCCCACTCAGATTTCTGAGCCCTGGGACTGTGGGATGGTAAATGGGTGTTATTTTAAACCACAAGATTGTGGCAATCTGTTATGCAGCAACAGAAAACCTTCTCTTCTGTATTTTTCAACCCTTTTATCTCTCCAGGCTTCATTCTAGATATTTTTTCTAACCTATCTTTCAGAGCACTAATTCTCTCTTCAGTTATATCTAATATGCTATGCTGTTAAACCCATCCATTAACTTCATATTCGATTGCTATATATTAGTTACCCGAGAGCTCTGGCAATGTGGGTTCTCCTCAAGTTCAAGTTCAGCCAATGAGATGATTTGAAACTGAGTGGCAATTCCTGCAAGGGCCTCTTTCTTCCTGGTTCATTCTTACTTCCTGGGTGCAGCCCTTTACTGGTACCTATTCAAAGCAAAGGAAGCTCACTAGGGCCCTTTAGAGGACGCGACCTTCAAATCCGGTCTCCAAGCCGTAGAGCTGCCAAAGCACTACTCGCTCTCTCCGCTGCCTGCTACTGAATTTTCAAATGCCCTCGAGGGAAAGACAGCCTCAAACCCGGGGCTCCCCTCTTTAGGCTTCTGTCCTTCCGCGAATCCTGGCCCAATAACTCCTCACTCACCTACACACTCTACAGAGGCCGACGCTGAACGTGGGGGTGGGGGCCCGCGTGTGGGGAGCTGACTGGCACGGCTGCTTCACAGACACACTATTTCTAGCCAGCCGTTTCATCTTCGTTTTCTGTATTTGCCACTTCTATACCCACAGTGCCTTCGGGGATCTACTATACACAGGTTCTCTTCCTCATTGCAAATGTCTCATCCACTCATTCTCACTTCCTCTGCTCTTTTATCTACATCGTTTATAATTACGTTTTATGTTTCAGAAACTTGTAAAAAGTTCTCATCCACTGATTACTGTCCTCTTTGTTTAAGCGTGTGAGCCACCATCTTATATGAGAAGTCCTGGTCGTTTTAGAGGCGAAAACGATCACAGCCCATGAGGACATGTGACTTGCCCGGGTCACTGAAAACTACCGCTGTGAGGCTCAGAGCTTAAGCAGAGCCCACGCCCCGCCCCCACAGCCTTCTAGCCCCGCCCCCGACAGCCTTCTAGCCCCTCCCCCACAGCCTTCTAGCCCCGCCCCACAGCCTTCTAGCCCCGCCTCCACAGCCTTCCAGCCCCGTCCCACACCCCCTATCACAGACAGGGCGCGCTAGACACTGTTTCCATTCACACTAACACGCAGACACTAAAACGGTGTGGGACCAGGCCAGTTTTCCTGCTTGCACAGAACAAGCTGCAGCAAAAAGAAATAAGAGCTTTAACAACCACTTCGTATTAAGGTTTTAACTGTTACTTCTAAGTGCTGCCAGACCTGATATTAAAGACTTGTTTTTTAAAGCTCAACATTTCATAGAACTGTTGCCTAAAATAAGTAATTTTTATTATTTTGGTTGAACAACTTGAGATTATAGGAGGCAAAAGAAAAACTGAATATGTATGAAAAAAATATACACACATTTTCCTCATTAGAGCTGCAAAATCTTAGAATTACTTAATTTTACAGTATGACTTGCTGGTATTGATGAACACTTCAAAATGGTAAACATTTAAAAACATTTCCTGATTATTTTTACTAGCTTTTTTAGGAAAAATATTCTCATTTAATAATACAGAAAGTTGATAAACACAATATAATAATAAATTTAGATAATAAGTAAAATTCCATATCTATTATAAAAATAAAAACCCCAAGAAAAACAATGTAGACATTTATGAAAAGAACCAAAAATAAATCTCTTGATGTGAAAATTTAAGACTGAGGCATTCACCTAAGGAAATAATTGTACTAACATTTTTAATGAACAACAAAAACACGGAAATAACAAATCAAAGGCAGCTGCAAAAACAAATCAAAATTAGGAGTCCAATATTTTATTCTAATTCCAGCTCTCCCATTCAACCTGGTACCAGGACCTGCACTTTGGCTAACCTGAACGCCTGCTCCTGTGTCTTCATAAAGCCCTAGTTTAAGCAGACAATTAACAAGTTTTATAAACAAGTACTATTGCTCCTGTATTTCTCAAAATGTTAAATCATACCTCCCCCTGTATTACTTTCCTGTTGCTGCTGTAACAGGTCTCCACAAATTTACTGGTTTACAACACTTTATCTCACAGCTCTGGAGTGCACCTGTGCGCGCGCACGTCAACCAAGCCCTTGGGTCAATCCGAGAGGAGGCTCTCTCCCAAGAGTGAGCTGAGATCACCTGAGGGACCCTTCATCGAGTAGAAAAGTCTTGAAAGACCAGGGACAGTGTCTCAACAGACCTGGATGGGGGATTGTTCAGAGAGGAGTCCAACCAGGAGACACAGGCGAGGGACGGTTGGAAGAACCTGCCCTGTCTTCAGGGAAGGGGGTCACCAAAGAGAAAAGGTTCTATGAAAGTTAGGACCCAGTGACAGGGACACTCAGGTCCTCCCTTCTCTGATGGGGAAGAAAGGGGCCTGACTGGCACCAGTTAAGAGTTTCTTGTTCTATCCGAACAGCAGGAAGAGGTAAGAGAACCTCTTCTTACAGCATGTACAGAATTCTTTTCTTACAAAGGACTTAAAGCATAATGCTAACATCCAAGATGCTTGGCAGAACAGAGCCAGGAAAAAGTCCTCAGAAGACACGGCGGGGAGTATCATCAGAGGAGAGGCTTCTCTCCTGTCCGCCCAGGACCGCCGCTCCCAGCACTGCCCCTGCCGCAGCCTGGCAGGCGCGCAAGACGCCAGACCCGAAGGCGGGCGCCCAGCGCCGCCCAGCCCCCACCGCCAGCGCAGGCTCTGGGAGGAGAAGGCAGCCATAGAGCAATCAGAGACCAGGTCTCCAAACATCTACGACCAACACTGTGATGGCACTTCATCTAAAGGCCAAAAACTGAAACACACCCAGAGTCTAAGAACGATTTTCATAATTGCACATTTCTAAAAGGAAATATCAATAATCTGAATCAAGGTAAGTAACTCGCTCCTTTCCATGTATTCAGTAAAGTAAACCAAACAAAAACGTTTTCATCTGTAATGAATAACTGGCTTGGGTTACAAAATTAAGTGAATTAATGACATTAAAGATCGTGATTGTTAGCTGTGCGTGAAGAACAAAACACACTTTTGACCTTTCCTTAGAATCAAAACTCAAGCTATAGAAATGGGGATTTCCAAAAGATGGGATTTAGGATGGTTTTAAAATGTTATACTTCTTTCTTCCTACCTTTCTGTATGTGACATGAAAGCTGCTTCTACAATACTAATAAAATTGCCATAAAATCATTTAAATGAAAATAGGAGTATTGAGTTAAATAAAATCACTGTAAATATTCTGTCAATATATAACAAGCTACTACAAGAAAATCACAACGTATGCATAATATAACATGAAAATATCATTATATATAATAGTGTAGTATTAAGGGTTAAATATCCATTAACAATGACAAATATCCTTAGTTTAAGGTACCTTCCAGTTTACTTTTTTAAAAATAATTTTTATGGAAGTGAGATTCACACAGACATAAAATTAACCATTTCAAAGGGACCATTCCGTGCCGTCGGATACATTCACGTTCTTGTGCACCCTCTGCAGCAATGTAACGTCACGAGTTCCAGGGCCCCAAGCGGAAACCCCGCGCCCAGTGAGCGGAGCTCCGCAGGACTCACTCCCTCCTGCCCCTGCCACTGCCAGTCTGTGCCTGTCCCTGGGGATTCCCCTACTTGCGATATTTCACACACACAAATGGACTAATATGCTGCCTTCCATGTCTGGGTTCTTTCACTGGGCAGGTTTCTGAGGGCCGTCCCGCGGCAGCGTGGGTCAGCGCTTCATTCCTTTCTGGGACTCATCTTCCATGTATGTATATTACACACTTTGCGCATCCCTTCACCCACTGATGGACATTTGGTCTATTTCCACCTTTTGGCTACTGCAAATAGTGCTGCTATAAACATTTGTGTACAAGTCTTCATTTGAAAAATTGTTTTTAATTCTTTTGGGTATTTATCTAGGAGTATCTAATGGGTCACGTGGTAATTCTATGTTTAACCTGTTGAGGAGCCTCGAAGCGTTTTCCACAGTGGCCGTGCCATTTTACATTCCCACCAGCAGTGTGCAGGGCTCTAATTTGTTCTCAACAGTGTCATTTTTGGTTTTGACTATGGTCATCCTAGCGGGTGTAAAGTGGTGTCTCATTGTGGTTTTGATTTACATTTCCAAACTGACTAATGACTGACATCTTTTCATGTCCTTATTGGCCATTTGTGTATCTTCTTTGGGAAAAGTCCTAGTCAAATCCTTTGCCTGATTTTTTTAAAGTTGCTTTTCTTTTTGTTGTTGAGTTATAAAAATTCTTTATGTATTCTGGATACTAGACTCTGAGGAGGTCCATTATTTGCAAATATTCTCCCATTTTGTAGGTTGCTTTCTTACACTCTTGATAGTGTCTTTTGATGCACAATTTGATGAAGTCCAATTCTTTTGTTGCTTATGCTTTTGGTGTCATTTCCAAGGATCCCAAGTCATGAAGTATTCCCCTCGTGTGTTCCTCTTAAGAGTTTCATGGGTCACTGGCCCATTCTGAGTTGACCTCTCCACCAAGTGAGACAGGGTCCAGCCTCACTCTCCTGCATGTGTGGGTGCGGCTGTTCCAGCGCCACTGCCCCAAGAGGCTGCTCTGCTCCCACTGCACAATCTCAGGGCCCTTTTTGAAAATTAGGCCATAGGTGTACGGACTTATTTCTGTACTCTCAGCTTTTAAATTTTTAAATAAATTCACATCTTCCCATCCTGTAATTCTACCACTGCTTTTACCAGAGATTGTTTATAATGCATATTAGGAACTTTTATTTCAAAACTAGAACTTTTAAATGAGAAATATACATCCATAATGAACACTCATAATTTCATTATTAAACATTCTTTAAAAAATAAAGATGAGAAGTAGCATATGCAAATTGAAAATTGAAACCAATCTCTGCAAAACCGTATTTTATAAAGTAGCGCATGATTTTACTGTCACTGAAGTCATGTATAATGAAGTCATTAATTTTCACTGCCTATCTGTATACAGCCTTCAGTTTTACAGTTAATTATGAACTTGCAGTCAGCCTCTTAATGTAGGTATTACATTAAATGTCCTTGATGTCAGTCTTGGGGAATTACCGGTGTCAGATCACCGTGCAATTTCAAATAAGAGATGGATTTAAAATCAAAAGAATGTTTTATCATCAGGAACTTTTTATTAACATCAAAATGCCCTAACAGGAGCCACCCATTGGCTTTATAGCTTCTCCTGGCACACTGGTTTTAAATACCAGGATGGCGTGTTATCGTTCAAAAGTGAAGGTCACCACCGTTTTAGACAGAAGCTGTGCATCCCTCCCAGCCTTTCTCCCACATTAGTTTGCCCGGAAGCTCTTGAACTGCCCCATCTCCTCTTAGCTGGCAGGGCTCCAGCCACCTAGGCCAAAGAAAACCACCCACTTCCCTGATCACATGTCACTATAATAGAGGATCCGTTACAAATGCTGCTGAGGATTCTCTAAACCCACCATCTCTAAGGAAAACAAACTCCCCTACCACAATATTCAAGAGTTCCCTTTCACCTTGAACCCACTGCTACCAGCTGTAAACACTGTGTGTTTCGCTTCATCAGTTTCTTTTAGATGCAAAGACAATTTTGTTTTTATTGACCAAAAAAGGAAAAAAAAGTTTTGCCCAAAAAACTAAGGGATAAGAAGTTTGGGAAGTGCTGATAATGGTAATCTAGAAAACATGTGAAAAACTTTACCTTTAGCTGGCCAGTGAGGCCGCGGCAGCTGACTGTCTTACCATGCAAGAGACTAAGGGTCGGGTCAGACCAACGGTTCTGACGTCCTGGGCTGGACACACAGTTAAAGTGAGACACCAGGGAGGAGACGGCCAGCCCACCCCTCACACAGCACCCCTTCCTGGTTAATCCATGGGGTGATAATGACACTGACTGGCCTCATCCTGCCACTGAAGGGCAAGGCACTGCAGTGACGGTGCCTAGAAATGAATAGCAGTGATTGGGGAGAAAAGGGGGCGGGGAAGGGTGGCCAGGATGAAGAAATGACTCAAACTCGTAATTCCTGTTACAACTCACTGTCATACCTATCACTCTAATATCATAATGGCAGGGAGAATGGAAAAGAAAAAAAGAAAAAGAAATAAAGAAAAACCGCTACCTATTTAATTTATGCAGCATTCTAAGAATCTGGGTTTGTATCCTACAGTCTGACTACACATAACTAGAGCAAGACGCTGATTCAATTACGCTCATAAACCTGGGCAAAGAAAAGAATATCATCATCAGCATTTCTGAATTCTGAATGACTTAGTTTTACTTCATTTTTATTACAAAAACAACTCAATGTGCACTACTGAGACAGACAGTACTTACCAGACAATTCCTTGGGCTCCAGAGCCAATTGGTTTCAGCTGCTGGTAACGCTTTAGCACAGTGAAAGTTGAGTCTGCCACTTGCACACTGTAAAACTGACTATCGCATTTACTGTCACTCATGATGTAGTGTCATGTAATATTCCAAAGGCTGTGCCGTTGTCAGATTCCTTAAAAGAAAAACAGAATGAATATACAGTCTTAGTGAAATTATACATATAGCTAGCTTAATAGTGTTTCAAATAGATCAGTACATAAGACAATGTGGCTGTAAGTTCATAAATTCAGTTGGACCAAGTTCTGAACTTAAGCAACACATGAAAAAGGCAAAGACATTTCACTGGTACAAGGCCATTATTAAAGAAAGAAAATTTGAGGCCCTGCATGACCACATTTTATGGAGCTGGATTAGAAAATAACCCCCTTTGGAGAAAAGAAATTGCACATTTTTTCTAGTCATGCATAGATTACGAGGTCTGTCCAGAAAAGGTCCAGCCATCATTAATATAACAAGAACAGCTTGTGCGGCATTGATGTCACCTGGCAGCCAAGGCGAGTGGACTGGACTGCGCATGTGTGAACAATGAGGACTTCACTGTGCTAGTCAGGGGGGGCGGTAGATGCCATTGAGTGAGCGTGTGTGCTGTGTGGCCGTTGCATTCAAAATGACTGAGCAAGTAGAGCAACAAATCTGCGTCAAATTTTGCATTAAGCTGGACCGACGGTCCGCAGAAACTATTCTGATGATGCCGAAGGCCACAGCTAGGGGTAACTGGTGACTGGCAGCTTTATCATGACCACGTGCCTGCTCACACACCAAATCTCGTGCAGAGTCTTTTGGTGAAACGTCAAATCACCCAGGTGACTTAGCTCCCCTACAGTCCAGATTTGGTGCCCTGAGAAGTTCTGGCTTTTCCCAAAACTAAAATCCCCTTTGGAAGGGAAGAGATTTCAGACCATCAATGAGATTCAGAAAAATATGACGGCGGAGCTGATGGCGACAGGGAGACCTGTGTGAGGTCCCGAGGTGCCTGCTTTGACGGGGACTGAGGTGCCACTGTCCTATGCACAGTGTTTCTTGTATCTCGTATCTTCTTCAACAAATGTCTCTATTTTTCATATTACATGGCTGGATACTTCTGGACAGGCCTCATATGTCACTGCAGATTCTCACCAGCTTGCTTTCCGTGGGCCCGCTGACAGGAAGCTGTCTCAGTCGGAGAGGAGGCGCTGTTTCAAATAATCACACCTGCAATTCCTGCAGAAACACAAAGGGACCAGGCTTCTAAGTCCATAAATGCAGGTTAAAGAGATGAGCCAGAGAACAAGCCCTGTGTCAAAGTGACGGAAAGAGGGAAGCTGAAGAGCAGGCTCCCAGGGCCCTGGAAACACGGGGTGCCGCGCCTGCTCAGGGGCGTGCTCTTGCCTGGGGAGAGCGGTCATGGCGTGCCTGCGTCCCCGCACCGTCACTAGAGGACAACCAAGAACACGGACGCCACGATGCGCCTTCGTGTGGCCTGAGTGTAACCTGGCAGCCTTGGAGCAGCCTCCGGGCTTTGGGCAGAGGCACAAGTGGCCACTCTGCAGGAGCCCACGTGATTTCATACAGAAAATCGTCAGGCCGCAATTCTTTATTTTCACGGTTCCCTGGCTCTTATTTGACAATGTGTACTAACAGGTCAGCGAGCCATTTGTCTTTTTTTTTTTTTAAAGGCCAACAACTGAATCATTATGTGAACGTCCTATGCTGTTTAAAAACACAGATTTAAATGTTATTCTACACCACCAGCAAATTCCTGCCTGTTTGCTCTACGATCTAATATTTAATATCTACCCCGACTTTTTTTGAGTGATGATTTGTATTTCAACACGATGTCTGAGATTTCCATTAAAAATGGAAATAAATGCATTAATGACAAGTCTAAACAAAGAATTTAAGTCCAATGACTAGTTTCTCCAACTGACCACTGTTTCAGGTTTTTACTCCTCTCAGGCAGTGGCTCAGGCACTGCTGTCAGTGACACCAGCCACTGTGACTGCGAGCCGCGCGTCCGGGGAGGCCCACCCTGCACGTGAAGCGATGAACCATCACACGTGCTCATGACAGCAGAGCCCACCGAGTCATGCTGCTGCGGGGAGGGCGCCCGTATTCCAGGAGGACGGGGCGGGGCTGTCTTGCCCGCCCAGGCATCCCACACTCACAGGGCGATCGACAGACCTTTGTCGATCTAACCCGGAATAAAGCATCTAATGATTTCCTCACAATGCTGCTCATTTTACTGACTTTAGAAGAGGAAAGAATATCCTCTTCTAAAGATTAATTTATTTATACACAATTCTACTCAACATTTATGGGGTGCCTTTGGCAACGAGTCATGTAGGAGATACACAGCAGCAGCCAGGGAGCAGCCCTGAGGCCGCACGTAGCTCACGAAGCGGGGAGAAGTGAGGAGTGCATCCGTTATTCACACGGTAATACAAGTGACTGTGAGGCAAGGGCCATAAGCAAAATGTAACCGAGTCCAGAGGCTCTACCCACAGGTGAGAGTGTAGGAGACAAGGAAAGCTTCCTGGAGGAGGTGGCATCTGGCCTGGACTGTGTTGCCAGAGACAGATAGCGGAGGCACAGGGCTCCAGCTGACTGCTCAGACCTGGTGAGCTGCTCAGCTGAGTGAGTGCGGTACAGAGGGAAAGCATCAGAGACAGACTTGGCAAAAAGGCAGTAGCCACTTCGACCTGCTGTTTCTCCGCCGTACTGTAGCCACATCAGCAGTGCTGTAGGTCTTAAGGCACGTCCTGAGCACCGCTGCAGCCGAGGTCCTGTGCCAGGGCAGCCGGTGTGTCTGTCCTCGGCAAGCGCACGGACAGTGCACACTGTGGGCATACTCAGAGAGACACGAGGCCAGGAAAGCCCTAAACCGGGGGGGGGGGGGGGGTGCAGAAGCTTCGGGGTGCAAGGGAGGAAAAGAGAGTGCGCAGAGAGCTGGAGATGCCTCTGAGCATGACCAGCCATGTGAGATTTGGTTTTACTGGGTAGTGGGGGAAAGAGGCTGGAGAGAAAATGAGGCCCAGTTGCCAGGGGCCCAGCTGCTGCTGGGAGCGGCCTGGGCCTGGGCCTGGGCCTGGGCCTGAGGGCCGAGGGCTGAGGGCTGTGGAGCCACCTAAGCACAGGGGGCATGTGCTCTGACGTGCTCTTCAGAGCGCTCCTTTGGGAAGCCTAGAAAGGGGTGGATTTGAGTGGGCAGGACAGAAGACGAAGAGACCTGGGAGAAGTGACGGTCCTGGCAGGTGGGGGAAGAGCGCCGCACAATTTGGAGGAAGATGCACCTAACGCACTGCCCTCAGAGGAGACAGGAGAGGCGGAGAAGCCTCCGGAGGTTGGCAGGAGGCCCAGGCCGAGGCTGTGGGTTCCGCTTGGGAGCCCGAAGCACCTCAGGCACAGGTGGCAGGAGAGGCACGGGCTCCTGAGGCGCTCCCGGACCCACCCCTCCCTTCTCTGCTCCAGGAACAGAAGCCTCCCTGTCCCAGCCGCACAAATGGCCGCCCTACGAGAGACGGCCTCTGGCCCCCTTCCTGGTAGCCAGGTGTGGCCAGTGACCAGCTTCTAGCTAGTGAGCTACGAGCAGACGTACTGCGTGTTACCTCCAGATCTTTTTTTAACAGAAAGCTGCTTGCTGTCCAACCTGTCCCCCTGCCGCCGGCTGGGGGATGAGCAGTAACAGACTGAGATGGAAGTCACATGCTAGAGCCCCCCACCAGCCAGTGTTCCGAACGATCTGGTAGCACAGAGATGGCACCCATTCTGGTCCCCCTGCCCACACTGAGACGGGCACCAATTAATCTCAGCCTTGTTGAGGAAGGGGGGACCCTCTCTGGTATAGCTGTTGTAACCTACAGCCTGACAGGAGCAATATTAGGTTAGCTTTTGTGAATTTTGGGAATACACTGTATCATTAGGTTCAAGAATTATCAATATAATTTCATCTCAAGGTTTAAAATAATTTTAAAATTAAAATAAGTTTCCTTATTAGGCAGGAAGAAAGCGCCTAAGAGAAACCTGTCAGAGCCAGCCTCTCTGTCAAGCTTGGGTCTCATGACCACAAGACAAAGAACCTGCAGAGGACCTGAGAAAACGTGTAATTTAGTTATTGGTGAAATCAACTCTGCTGCGACTGTATTTCAACAAAATGGATTATCAACTGGGTTTTAGAGAACAGTTTACGAATTGCGAAGTGTAAGAACTCCTCGTGCAAACATGTTACAACACTGAAGCTGCACTCGCTGCCTCCACGCCCCTCCCCAGTGGGTGCTGGGTCTGCACCTCACTCCCGGCAGTGGGGCCTGGTGCCCGCCAGGCCAGGCCCTCCTCCAAAGCAGGGAGGCCCTGTCTTCCCTCTCCTGCAGCACCGCTTGGTAAACAAAGAAATGTCCAGGGCCCACCAGGGATCCGCGGACAAGGCGCCTGGGGACACGCCCCGCCCCTGGGTCTCCCCAGGCCTGCGCGTGCTGAGTGTGCGCCTGGGGGAAGAGGTCGGCAAGGCTTCTGCTGGGGGCTCTGGCTCCTGCCACCGCCTCCCCACCGCCCATGCTACTTCCTGGACGCCTGCTGAATGACATGCTCTCATCCAAAATCTCCATTTCTCTAAGACTGGGACTCTTCTAGAATCCCCTCCAAATACTGGAGTGAACTCTAAATAAATACTGGTGGGAACATTCCTGCCTGCTTAGAACCTACAGTAAGAAATACTTAAAAAAAAAACACCTCTCCGAATCTAATATTCTTCTAAGTATAAGCCATTTAGGTATTGTAAACATAATATTAAATGTTTGGTTACTTTTTACAAATTAAAAAAATTGTTCTAACTATAGCTTGCAGAACATATAGTCCCATTCTCATGGGGACATCAGCTACCATTCACTGAGTTCTCTCAACAAACATTTCCCAAGGGCCACATGTGTGCCAAGCATGAGGCAGGGGCTGTTGAGAGCAAGCACTAACCAGACAGTCCCTTCCCTCGAGCCACGAGAGCACAATTATCACACCACATCTGAAGTGTCCTCGGGGCACCGACAGGCTGCACGGCAGGAGCGCCGCAGAGTGGTGTGACCCAGTGGATGGAGCCTGTGATTGAGAGGTGGATGCACAGGAGGGCTTCCTGGAGGAGGCAAGACTTGAAGGCAAGTTTGTTCACAGTGTCAACCCAGGTGTGAAGATACTGATCCTTTCATACATGCCAGGAAGGAGGAAAAATTGGTAAAAGATTTTTTGGAAGGAAAATAGGTAATATCTAACAAAAATTTCAAATGCACATGACTTTTAACCTGTCAACTACAGTTCTACACATGTATTCAACAAGTAGGTGTATAAATATTCAAAGATGTTTGTGCAAGGATGTTTGTAGCACTTCTTTTGACAGGCAAAATATTAGAAATAACCTAATATGTACACTTGGAAAGACTAAACAAATTATGGCATAAAAGGACAATAAAGCCATTAAAAACAATGGAGGAAATTCATGTATTGATATGAACCGATATCTAAAATATGTAAAAGAAATAAGGCAAACTAAAGAAGAGTGCGCAAGGCAAGTATCAACCCATGGAGAAATGCGCATGCACACACACAAGCTCGCAAGTGCGCAGCGCAACGGGAGTGAGACCGCTCCCTTCCCGTTGCACCTTTCTGGGCCTTTTTATTTTTTGGTAGCCATGCACATATTTCACATTAAAAAAAACTAACTAAACAAACACTTTTAAATGAAAAGCTGCAGAGTGGTCACTCTGGCCTCCGTGGGGAGGCTGGGCTGGGGACAGGCGGTGCTGGAGGCGGGAGCGCGGCCGGGCGCTGGGCAGCAGCGGGTAGTGATCTCTGAGCCGCACCTGAGGCGCGCGGCTGCCCCAGTGGGGTCCGCAGATGAGGGGACAGCCTGGAGCCCTGGGGGTGGCGTGGCCCGGATCTGAATGCCGGTGTGGCTGACTGCAGTGCTCGTGCTCTTTCCAGTGCACCGCTCTAATATCTCTAATTTTAGTGAGGAAGGAAAGCGAGGTGTCCAAGGACTAGGCCAGAACCAGGCCTGAAAACCACAGGTCTTCACCTTTCAACCTGTTGGCTTCACTCCACTAGACACGTTTTCTTTTGCTGAAGATGACTCAGTAACGAGGCTCAGTTAAGCCTTTGATCACACTAAGGCTTCAGAATACCAAGGACACGCAATATTTAAAATAACTGACTGTGCTGGTTAAAGGCAAATTTCCTCA